TCTCTAAGGTGCTGTTTTTACAGGACGACGGAAGCCATTTCTCCCTTGATCTGGTGACCACACGCTGACGAGATGAAAAGACGGGTCTCAACCTCAAGGGAGAAAAGCAGTCACCACTGAACCCAGTGCCCGACGGACGCGGGGGCGGGCACCTGGTCCTGCCCGCAGGCCGGCACCTGGTCCTGCCCGCAGGCCGGTGACTCTGAGCCTGGGACGTCCTCACCATGCTGTCCCCATCCCCCGAAGACAGGCCGGCACAGCCCCAAACCTCAAGCACACGCTGGTGACTGTCGCTGAGAACCCCTCACCTCTCAGGATGAGGGAGGAAGGGAGGTGACCATTTCCCGCCTCCTGCTCTGTGTTTTGGAGGTGCTCCGGGGGGGGGGGCAGTCAGGCTCCCAGAAACAGGGAAGTGGCCCGGAGGTCACAGTGTCACCCTGGCCCCGCCCTGTCTAATGGCCCGAAACTGCCAAGTGCTCGTTGTAAACGCTTTTATGGAGCGTGCCCTGCCCGCTCCTCTCATCACCGGGAACCACGCGTGAGCCGAGCTCGCGTGAGCCTGCGTCCTGGTGGGTCAGGCCCCAGCTCCCCTGCCCCGCGCTCTGGCCCCAGGTGAGGGCCATGGAGGCCGGAGAGGGAGGTGGGGGGAGGAGAAGCAATTACCAGGCAGACTTTGGAGGCTCGGAGCCCTGGGGCACCGGCTGCTGACGGAAGGCTCCAGGCCGTTGCGTCTCGGCCAGGATCCGGCCTCGCCTGCCTCGCCTGCCTCGGGACCAGGCAGACTTCAGGGCGATAACATCGGCTCCTGTCCTCGGCACCCCAGGGTCTCTGCTGTCTCCTGACAAGAACGTGCAGGTACCAACAAAAGCCCATTATACCGGCTCCCTCCGCGTCTGGCGCGCTCCCTGGCTTCGGCTTTTATGGTTTGCCCCGTGGACACCCCGACAAAAGGCAGCGGGGAGTCGGCGCTAGCTGCCCGGCTCTGCAAGCCTTTGGAAACGCATTGCCTTCCCGGCAAACAGGAACTTCCGGTCGTCTGTTTTTTAAAAAAACCAAACAAACCAGCAAACCAGTCTCAACAACACATCCAAGTCCGGTCCCCTCGACTGGAACAAGGGGCTCCGAGGAACCGGGGAAGAGGAGATGGAGCCGCAGAGGGGGCGCTGTCAGGGACATAGCGGGGGTGGGAACGGGAGTCCACCCGCCAGGCAGCGAGGCTGCGGAGGGACAGGGAGGGGAGCCCTGGGGGTGGTGGCCGCGAAATGTTCCAGTGTTGGGCCCGGAGGCCTGGCCAAGGGGCCGGTTTGGGAGAGAGGACTGTGATTAGGGTGGGAAGGTGGGAGGCCTAGCAGCAGAAAGAGTGACCTTGGGGGATGGATTTAGAAAGTTCTGGAACCAAGAAGCATCTAGGCAAGCTTTTAAAGAAGAGCCAACACACACAGGAAGCCACCTGGACATGGCAGGAGGGGACAGGACCTGGGGTCCGGGGAGAGCAGGGAGGTGTGTGTGGGGTGACAGGGGGTGTTATACAACCAGTTCCAGCTTTGGGTCCAAATCTCTAAATGACTGTGTAGAACCAGGGCCAGGTGTCTGGAGGGCAGCTGAGCTGGGAGCGAGGCAGGTGGCCGGAGAGAAGTGACAGGAGAGTTTGGCCTGGGTGGGGCGGGGCGGGCGGCGGGCAAATAGCAACAGGAAAGGAAGCTCACCCGCTTTAGTCACAGAGGCTGAAGAAGGCAACGGGTCATACGGTCAAGAGGCACAGAGAGCCCGGCCGGCTGGTCAGGGATTCTCTCTCATCATTGATGTTTCTCTCTCTCCCTCTCCCTTCCTCTCTGACATCAATAAAAAAATTTTTATATATAAAGAAGCGCAGAGAGATATTCCATTTTCCTCTTTGTCACAAAGTGGAAGGGCAAGGGCCTTGCTGTCACCTGCGGGACCACCCCGCTCCTGCCCCCGCTGGGCTCTGAGGGCAGACCGGGCATCGCTGGGGCAGGAAGCGAGAGCCCCCGTGGCGGCGGGCAGGGCAGGGCCGGAGCTGTGGGACTGAGAGGGGGTTGGGTGTGGGCCGGGCTGGGAGAGAGGTCCTGCTGCATGGACTCCCAGGAGAGCCTGTCACTCTGGAGCGAGACGGAGATGTGGAGGATGCGGCAGGGGCTGGGCTCCCGGGGCGGGCGAGGTTTGGCTGATGGCACACACAGCACCAAGGGGAATCGTCCCTGGGCCCCAGGAGCCTAGGACACTGAGCTCCAAGGTCAGGAGCCATGAGGGGTGCCCAGAGGGACCAA